CAAGCCAAAATTAGAACAATAATTTTTATCTCCATGGACAAAGAGATTTTTGCATCCATTTCCTTTTTTCTTTCCCTCTTGTCCTCCCAAAGACACATAATATTTTCTACATTTTCTTTCTAGAATTTTTATGTTTATTTAATTTTATAATGTATTTACATGTCTTAGACATCTGTTTGACTGGTTTAAGTTTCTTTTGAACCTTTTTACATTGTGAATCCTGTATTTTTTATTCCTTGCTCAGGTATTGGATATGTACATATATATACATACATATGTACATATACATATTTGATATATATATATTTTATTTAGGTATTTGATAAACACACAGATACCTTTAAGTAAGTTAAGTAAGTTACACATATGTATCTTTAAGTTTTAATTAAAGTAGGTGCTATAATTTCTGAATTCATGAATACCTGAGAATGTTGCTTTGTTATACAGGAGCTATTTATTGAGAATAACATTTATGGTTTGTCTATGTATCTAATCTCAGTGGGCATTTGAAGTGACTTGAAGCTATGGAACCACTCTTTTTTCACTCCTTGTTAGGCTGTAAGCATTCAAACAGGTTCTTTTTTCTATTATTCTTTCGCTATTTTTATCCAATTCTCCTGCCAGTAGATGTGTGGATTGTTCTCCATTAACTCTACCTGGAATGTATGAGCCCTTTTGAAGTACATAAGTCCTTTGGTTCCCCATTCTGAAATGTTTCTTTAATCATCCTTTTGATTATTATTTACATTCTAAATCTTATTAAATACTGAAAAGCTATAATTGTTAGACACATCAATATTTTCTGATGTTATATCAATCAAGTCTTTATTCATGTTTAGCTTTATCCTTCTAAATTTAATTAACAGACTCAGTTTGCCCTCCTCAGTACTATGTGTTTTCATTGTTAATTCTACTATTGTATCTAATATGGGTTTCATAATTATAAGGAAAACCAGTAGAATAGGATGTTCATCAAGTCAGTGACTATAGTTTTAATACAGTCTTTGTGCTGAATGAAATAGTAATTGTGCTCTGGACAAAGCAAGGCTTGGGAAACTGACATTTTTCATGGATAATGTGTTACAAATGGTGGATATTGACCAAGGAAAATGTGGATATGTGTTTAGTTTCCCCTGAATTGCAGCATGCTTAGCTAAAATGTACATACACTGATTTACACCACAGAAACAGGAACAGGGTTAGTAAACATGTGAAGGCTTTTTCTAAAATGCTTTTATAGCTTTCTTGTAAATGATTTTCAGAGTCACATACTCTTCTATGATTGAGGATGGTGTTCTTTCTGTTCTGTGACAGTACTTTTTCATGGATTCCATGTTGTATTTTTTGAGTTTACCCTGAAATGATCTATCAAGACCTTTTCTTTCTGCCTGTGCAGACATGTTGGAATATTGGAGTCTCCATACAATAACCTTTAGTATGTACTTGCTACCAAAGTTCTTGTAGCCACTGTGCGTATAGCATGTTAATTATTGTGACTATAGCTCTACCGTACAACCACTGCCAGCCCCATTGCTACCACCCTCCATCATTTTCTTGGAAGTGAGATCTCCAAAGGGATAGACAAAATTCCCACTGGAAATAATCCTATCTTAACTCTTACAGAATGTTAGGGTTTTCTCATTGTGTAACTAACCCTTTCAATTCAGGGGCCAGAAATGATAAATATATGAAAGGCCTACCTAAATTCTTTTAGGTAGAGAAAAAATGGTTTCATTTAACAAAATGTACATGTATAAGCTTCATGTCTTCTTTTTTTCCTCAGTCCATTTCTTTCTTTTCTTTCCTTCCTTCCTTCCTTTTTTTCTTTTCTTTCTTTTCTTTCTCTCTCTCTCTCCCCCAGGCTAGAGCGCCGTGGTGTCAGCCTATCTCACAGCAACCTCAAACTCCTGGGCTCAAGTGATCCTCCTGCCACAGCCTCCTGAGTAGCTGGGACTACAGGGGTGCGCCACCACGCCTGGATAATTTTTTGTTGCCTGGCTAATTTTTTCTATTTTTAATAGAGACAGGGTTTTGCTCTTGCTCAGGCTGGTCTTGAACTGGTGACCTCAAGCAGTTGGCCTCCCAGAGTGCTAGGATTACAGGCATGAGCCACCATGCCTGGCCAATTTCTGTTAGCCCTTATATTGTGTGTATTTTGGGAGAGGGGATTAAAAGGCAATACCAAAATAAACAAGTAAAATATATCAGATTTTAGAAGTAAGAGTTCTATAGAAAAAAATTAAAGCTAAAAATGGATAGAGAATCCATAATCTTAGTTTCCCATTGTTAAGTGGTTTAAGATTTATCATCATCATTTTTATGGAAAAGTGTAAAGCTAGTTTAAATGGAAGTAGCTATTATTGTTATTTGAAATAGCTTTTAAACTACAATTCAGTGACAACTACATTCAATGGTTAGAAATCTATGTGATTATTAATAATCGCTGCCTAACAACCAATTTTAATATTCAACAACTATAACTTAAGAGCCATGCACTTAAAAATCTTGAAGTTTGGTAAGAGAAGAGAAAATGAATAATACCTTTACCTTGTAACGTGATCTGCCTTTTGAGAAGAGGTATATAATACTCTGAAAAAGGCTATGCTGACTCTTCGGTAAGTTATGATGGTACATACTTACTGAAACTGTCTTATTTAATCCTTACAACACCTCCATAAATTAAGCTTTACTTATCCCTTTGATAAAGATGATGAAATTAAGGCTTTGAGAGATTAAATAATTTGACCAGGGGAACATAGCTAGTAAGTATCAAAACCAGGATTGAACGTAGGTCTCTTTCATCCTAAAATCATATTTGTCATCATTACACCTTTCAGCTTCAATCTCTGACTTGAGCTAATCAGAATGAACAGAATAACAAATTCATTGGTTTTAATCCAAACTGCTTTCTTGGACTTGCGTATGATTTGGTCCCTGCCTACCTCTTCAATTTCATTTTAGATTCCACAGCACAGTATCACTGTTCCCAGCCTCCAACTGGCTTCCTTTTGTTCCTCCAACATCACATTCTGGGGTCTTTGCATAGTCTGTTTCATCTGCCTACAGTGTTCTGGCCTTCATATGTCTACATGGTTGCTTCCTTCTCTAAGTCTTACCTCAAATATCATTTGCTCAGAGTCCTCTTCCCACGACTTTAGGAGAAATAGCTGCCCCCCATTCACAGTCTTTCCTGTCACCTGTCCTGGTTATTTCCTTCAGAGAAGGCAACCAATCTGAAATCAGTCTGTTCATTTACTTGTTTATTATGACTCCTTTGAGAATAGTAAGAATGTAAGCTCGTGGAGGGCACTGGTTTTCTCCCTTTTAGTTATTACTTCATCTGCAACACTTAAAACAGCACTTGGTATATAACAGATGTTTTAAAAATAGTTGTCAAATAAGGAATGGATGAATGTTTTTGAGGTTTGTATTATATATTTGTTTCTACATGGGAACAATGCTTTTAAATTTTTTTCAGTGGGACATATTTGAGAATTAATGTCTTTGATAATGTTGAGTGTTCTAAATCAGGGTTTAGCCTTTATCAGGACACTTATAACCACATATGGTACAACTTCCTGCAGCAGCAGAGATTTCTGCTTTGGTTTTAACACCCCCCAATGTCTTGTTTAAATAACTAACTATTCAGTTGTCACCTGAAAATAAGTGTTTATTCAATAAGCATAAAACTTCTTAGCTAATTATCTGTAACACAATTATAATATTTTAGATTCATAACAGTTTTTACGTAGACAAGGACTTCGTATACCTCTAGTCTAACTGAAATATTTTGGAAAGGTAAAAAGGCTTCTTCAGGGGTACATGGGTAGGTCTAGGACCAGAAACTCAGGCCTGGGCCCTTTCCATTATATTATCAGATCAACTCCTATATTTCTCTCCCTCCTCTAACTGTAGTGAATATGCCTATGGGAGCAATAGATTATGTATATGTATAGCATTTAATAAGAAATCTGCATTTCAGAAAGAAAAATGTATTCATCAAAGCTCCGAGTTTATTTCAAACCCATAGAAATAAAACAGTAGCTTTCATGGGTGCCTTAACATTGAAATCATTGCATGCACGCTATTCCATTTAAGGCAGTTGTAGAAGCTGAGCCTTGCAGGCTAGACCTTCGAACAGAAAGGGAAAGAAATACCAGATTTGGAATGAAACAATATCAAAAGATTTTACATATTGTATTTGCTCCAAATTGGCAATTGAAACTGTACTGCATACGAGCCTCAAATTTAAAAAAACCTATGGATTTTTCTACATGTCATCATGTGACAAATGAATTCTTCATTTTTCAGACATGTTTCTTGAAAATAGTTTGATTTACAGAGATCAATTTACATACACATTTCTATAGAACAGAATATAGCATATCTTTCATGTCTTCTTAGAAGCTAAAGATTTATCTTCTAAGAGTAAAAAAAAAAAAAAAAAAAAGCAAATATACTATTGTGTGTATATATGTGGAGATGAAGCAAAATAGACCTGCCCATCAATGTTTGCAAATGCTCAATGAATGTGGGACATATATATATATAATATAAAGAATTCTATATAGTTTGAAAATGTAGCTTTTGGGGGAAAGTGAGTCATAAGATCACTAAAGTCAAGACCTCTATTGTCTATTTACTTTTATTCTTCTAAGGTCGGCAGTAACATTGGCTCACTTTTATACAGTAGAACACACAGACCCCAGTGTAGACGACTGTGAAATTTAGGGTTTTTCTTCCTGTGAATAAGAGGAATTTTATGCTGACTCAGTAAATCTCCAGTTCTCTTCAGTGATTTTTTTAAAGAATACTGTCATAGGATATGGGGAAAATAGTATTCATTCCCAAATGACTGTGACTGTGAGTCACAGAAGTGTAGACTCCTAGAACCGGGAGGGACCTAGGGATTATCTTGTTGAAAATATTCCTCGTAGAGATAAGGAGAGTCTGCGAATTCTGGTGACTACTGTAATAAGGTTTTAATTCTCTTTGTGCAGGAATACATGGACTCCAATAAATACATCGAGCACCTGCTAACCCAACTCGAGGAGCAACACAGAAGTCTCTGGAGGTGAGTCAAATTCATGTTCCTATTTGTTTGCCCAGGTAGAAGCCTCTATAGCTTTGTTGATCTAAAATACTTCAGTTAGTCTAGAGAGTATACTAAGTCCTCATTTAGCTAAAAACTGTTATGATCCTAAGACACTACAGTCTTAGAATGGCAAACTGGTTATGTTGCAGAAACTAGAACCCACATTCTCTGATCCTTGCCTGTGTAAAGATTCTTTTTCTTTATTTAAAAGTAGAACATTTGTGTGTAAAAGTTTGGCTTCTCTTCATATTAAAGCGGAATATTTTAAGAATGCTGTTGTATAGTTTTCCAATACTAAGTTTTGTTCTGTGTGGTGGTGTCTGACACTAGGTAAGGAGAGTGTCTGAGAATATTTGTGCGGGTATATTGGAAATGTAGATTATATAATAGAAGTCACATTCATTTCCTGGGGCCTCTTAGGAATTCAGACTGTCAAAGATGGTTGTGATGTCATTATTTAGCTTTTTAGGGTCCATATGGTCACGTTGTTTATAGGTACTACTATGGAATTTGAACTCTTTTTTCGAAATCCTGATAGCTCTTGCTTTTTGAAATAAAGATGCTAATGCTTAATTATATGATGCCTCACAGAGTACTGAAATTGTTTAATAAAATTACCTTTGTCTCACCAGCCCCAGTAAGCCCCTAAAGTCCTTTATTTCTTTCTACCTCCTCACAGCATGGAGGAGAGTGCTCTCTGTATGCAGAGATGGCAGGTAAATATTTACCAACCCTGTGGCCTTCTTGCCACACCTCATCCAAATCCATCCCCACTGAGCTCTGTGCCAGGCCATGGTGCCCCTTTTCCATGTACCATTGTAAGAAATTCCAGTAACCCTGAAAATCCTCTTCCCTAAGAAGTTTCTAGTTCTTCAGTAAACTGCCATATATTTTATAATAATTTGTTCTGCTTTTATGTTAGTTTTCCTACTGGAGTAAAGATCTCTGGTTATAATAATAGAAAATATTCTATTTCTATACATAGAAAAGCTGGTAAGATCCAACAAAAGTTCAGTTAAGTCTATTTGCCAATAAGGGACACACCAGTTAATTTTGTGTAACTTAATGCAATATGTGCTAGATTTGTTTTTGAGAACTATACCCCAGTTTTGATAGTTTTCCTTTGTGAGCCAGTGTATTAATAAAACCAACAATAATGTATTTATAGTTGTGTGTTTTTAATTATATCTTCCATAGATCTATTGGAAAGTATATTTTTAAAACTAACTGATATGTAACATTTTATTTCAACTATATGTACAGAATATTTTGTTTTCTCTATCTTTCAAGAGAAAAATACAGAAAAAAATGATGAATACCATCTGATGAAAGAAATTCAGAGTTTAATTTGGTCAGTAAGCGTATCTTACACATATCATTGTGGAGGAGTAATGGTTTCATGGGCTCTTTGAACCAAGAAAATCTGAATGGAAAAGGCTATTTTTCCTGCTTTCTTGAGGTTGCTAATGAAAACCTTGGTCTTCTCAGATATGATTAAATTAAAATCCCATTTCAGGTATGGACTTAACCTAACATAATATAAGAGCTGAGAATTTTGTGTACAATCACTTCCATTTTCCTTCAGAAATGGAATTATTACCATTGAAGAAGCAAACCCTTATATATAGTGTCAGCAGATCTAATAAAAATGCTCCATTTGAATAACAATAGAGGGCAATAATGGCATTTGGACAGTCTGAATAACTACCAGTGAGAAAATGGAAATGGTAGCACTGAAAAGAAAATGAACCCCAATAATAGCGGATTTATATACTATTTATTGAATCATGAAATTACATTTGATTAAATTTTTGCAAACAGATCCTGACTTGACTGACTTAGAGTGACAGGTTGTGACTTAAAGTGATGGTTATTACAATATCATAACGACAACAATAGCCAGATTGTTTTTGGTGAAAATTACGTGAGTGACAGCGAACAGTGTGGGAAATCCTTTATGGTGATGATTAAATTTTTCAATGCTTATTCATGAGTTAGGATAGAATCTATGGTGTACAGAGTATCGTAGGAATAGCATGTCATGTACACAGGCACGACCAGATTGTCTGAAGTTAAAGAAAAGTTCCCGCAAATCAGTAAAGACTCCTTCTCATTTTATTATGCCTTTGATTTGTGGCTGCTATAATTATCACGGAGTGTTCTATCTGTCATTGCTGGTGATATTAACTGATGGCCTTCCATTTATACTTGAGCTAACTTATAACTTATGAGAGACAAGTTGTGAATATTTAGATCGTCCAGTAATAATTTTGGTCAGCATTAATTTACGGTCACCCCCTTCGAGGATTGAGCAAAAGCATGGTCGACACAAGGCAAACTCTTTTTGCCACCTGCTGAATAAGAAACAAATTGGACAAATGATAGAGGATTGTGAGCAAGAATTAAAAAGTTTTCTTTTCTTCATGGAGGGAGCTACTAGTCTAATAGATTTAAGTTGTTTCTTATAGCATAACCATCTGCTGTGACACAAAAATATGTTGTAATCACATTTAAGATTACCAGTTATTTTGGGGTCCTGTCTAGTATTCTACTGAAATAGACATATAATCTATCTCTGGGTTTTCAAGTTACGAAGGAATTTGTGGAGTTCAAATATAGCTGTCTAGCAATGAGCAGTCCTTTAGCTCAACTGTCTTATCGACGCCAACAAATCCTTTCTAAAGAGGAAAACTTCTGTGAATTCATCTAAAGGAGAGGATGGGGTCAGAATCTAGAACTTAGTATAAGACTTGAACATAAGTGTGGGCGGGTTCAATTTGTTCTGTATCTCCCTGCTTGATTTAAAAAAGAAACATACCCAGTGACAATGTGTATACTACTTGACATTGAAACACAAGCATAATTTCCTGTATCTTTATTTGTTCTAATGTGGAAAGTTAGTATTGGGAGAAAAAGGATTTTTTGCACTTGATGATTTTTACCATTTGTTACTATTTCTGATTTGGCTAAATATACTTGTGACTGACAAGAAACACTGTAAGAAACAACTGCGGAGTCTGTCTTCTAACATTTGATAAAAATCTTTATCCATTTGCAGCCTCAAATTAAGAGTTTAGAATAAACACAGACAGCTGGAAAATACAAAGCAAATTCATGAATGCTTATGGCATCGGAATGATACTTTCATGCCACAAATGTGAAATTATGCATGAAAAAATGGAAGCAGCATAGGGCTGTAATAATGGAAAGAAGACTGGACTGGAGGTTTTGGGGACCAAACTGGCTGTTGGAGAACATCTCTGAGACTGAGTTTCCTTATCTGTGAAAAGAAGGTATTGATATAGCTAGTATTTAAGATTGCTGAGCACTGAGAATATAGGAAACAATATTAGAATACTATATTGCATTTATAGAACATATACAGACATGTTGTTTTTAATAATATTTATGTACAACAATAAAGTATGTAAAACATATATCATAGAAAGCTTCAAAGAACATATGAGTAGAAATGACTAATATAATAAAATTACCTAACAGCTTGCCAGTCACTCCACTAGATAATGTCAAAGTATTCATTGTAGATTTTTGTAAGTTAAATTGGTGACAATGTTATCAAAAGCCTATATGTTAATAAAGATTAATTAGGTCTGCATGGTCAAAATCAAATGACAAGATCTGGTGAATGCATAGTGTCAGCTGCCAACCCACAGATTCTAGACCACCTAAGTCTCATTTAAACAAGCTGTATCTGGGCTAGGGTTTCTCAACCAAGGCACTGTTGACATCTACTCTAAGGTTCCAAGGAACATACCTTGGGAAATGGTGATCTGTCTGGTTGATATCCAAATACATAACATGTATGATTTGTACCTTGTCTTCCCTGTCCACTCCACTGGTACGGGGTTTGGCGACTTGGTGAAAGGACATCTAGCAGTGAGGAGTCCGGGTTGTTGGCATAGGGGAAAGCCAACATGTAAAAAATCCAGTCCCAAGTTCTTCATTTTCCTGAGGGATGACAGCCGAAGTCTTAATACCAAATTCCAAGAATCTAAACTATGTTTGCCTGAGTGAAGCACTTAACTCCTGCTTTCCAAGGGGAAGAAATAATGGTTTCCTACATCACGAGGGGGAGTAAAACACTTAGCTGAAAAGCATGCATATCGGTCCTTGGTTAGAAGAAGATCCTTTAAGGCTCATCTCTTCCAGCAAAAAAGTGGATGGTTTTAGCATATCGAAATTCTTTAAAATAGAATTTCACCTTTGCTTTTGTGATTCTCATTCTAAGGAAAGAGATAGGGAAAAAATTGGGAAGAAAATGTTTACTTTCATTCTATGATTCAAATGTTGCTTATTTAAGTACAGTGAACATTGAAACAAAATGATCCACACTCCAAATACTCATTCATGTTCTCCATAATCCTGATGTATCCATACATTTTTGGGGTAGAGGTTAATGGCACCACTGCCTCTAAGATTCCTTCCAGCTCTAAATTGAGAGTGAAATTGCTTGCTGGGAGGCCACATGCCATTATTCTATTCTTGAAAAGAAAATTCTTTGCTAATGTGTTACCTAGAAATTGTCTTGATGTTGTAAAATAGAGGTAAGAGGCAAAAGCAGATATGCCCTGAGCAGAGTACAGCCCAGAGCCTCTCGGCGATTCACCTTCTATGTGTCCCAGATCATAGAATTGTATTATCCAGGCATCTTAAGAATTAGCATGTCTCTATTCTCATGGGGTTAATTTATGTAGACTAAGGAGATGCCAAGTATTAAACAGGTTGCCTTCGCTGTAATCATAGATCTCCACTGGGAGATCTTAATTGGCAACAAGTAAAATTGCTCTGCATGAATTCTTAATGGTGGACACAGAATAAAATAAGAACTATGATTTGTTTTTTTAAATCCCTTCAATAGAAAAAGAGGCTGTCTCCCGGGGACAGAATGTGTAGCAAACAAAGAGAGAGCTCAGTGCACTGTAATAGCTGTAAAAGCTCTGAAAGCAAAACACCACGCC